CGACTACATTCCTTTTATGAGGTAAATAATTTTATTATTATTATTATAATACTAGTGGCAAACTAATGTGATGCAATGCGTATTAAGAAACGGTAATTCAATCATCAAGGAGGAAAACACTACGATAAAACACATTTTTAGACCGTTATATACGTTTAGGAACAAATTAATATACAATACAATCTCGAGAAATCAAGACCGTGCATTATCTCAAGCTAATCAATAAATCTAATACATAACGTATACAACTTTTTTCAGAATTTACAAAAGCTATACCGTGAATTTTTCATCGAGTTCACAAAAGTTTGGCACTAAATTTCTCAACCAAACAATATAAATGTCATTGAAATACTCTTTTACGAACTGAACGGCAGCACAGTGCTACACGTGCAAACAAGCTCCTAATACCGTGTTGTGTAAAACCGTGCTATACGGAACTAACAACCAGTACAAACAGAGAGATGCCTTTGTAACACATACATTTTAGTACCTCAGGCGATCAAAGCTATTGCGCTTGGTACTCATCATCACTCACAGTCATTTTCTTAAAGGCATCCATCTTCACAAAAGCATAAAGTAGTCTGGAATATACGCGCCCTTTTTAAAAAGATTCCGTTCTGTATATGGTATCCCCAACACATACTCATCCTTCACAGATGTTACAAATCTTAAATTCGTAGCTATGGAAATGTTCCAGTAAAATAAATTATAAAGGAAACGTTCGTCTATTCAAATTCAGATTCTACAGTTAATAATAGATCGAAATGAAGAATTAGATGGTTTACGGGAACATGGACTTCAGACTTCTTAACGATTACATCAAATTACTCGTCATCTAATTAGTGATGCGTTTGAATGAACTAACGAGATTCTAGTATTTGTCCCCATTTGCTACATAAGTATTAAAATTTAAGATAGCAAATACATTTACCGGAATAAATCCATAAGCAAAATATACATTTTGAATAAAATAAAAGATCACCTCAAAGTCACTTTTAGTGTGAAAATTGTGGGAAATGGCAATTTAGAAGCAAACAGCTAATTTTATTACGCGTATTTGTGATTCTTATGGGTGAAATAGTAACTGAAGTCAGATTAGTCGATAAAAAGACTTTTGAATTTGGACAATTCGATAAAAAGACTTTTGAATTTGGACAATTCGATAAAAAGACTTTTGACGTTTCTATGATACATTGGAAGTAGGTACATTTTAGTCGGTCCTGTCCAATACCAATTACCAATATTGATCGCGCGACATTACCAGCTCAGTTGAAGTATTGCCTTAAAGTCGCATAAGATTGTGATCTTATGTATTGATCTTACGTGCTCTTATGTATGTTTATCTTATGTAGGTATGGTGTCCATGGGACGGAGACTTGGTGACGACGGTACTGTCCTCAGCAGTGGTAATCTAATACCAATAGGGTTCTTAAAAATAGCAACGTATACAGCGGAAAGTATTTAATGAAGCTGCATACGAGCAGTTGTTGTATCAAGTGAAAGTTTTGGGGGAAAGATTTACTTGACGATCTTGAAAGTTTCAGTAAGTCTTCCCGACATCACTTAGATGATTTTATATGTGGCGGTATCATCAGAATGATATAAGAGCAAAAAATAACACATGCGGCCAGGGAATTCAAGATCACTCACACAGTGGTTTCACCGACGTGGAAAGCATTTAAAATAATCGGAACGTGTAACCAGTATCACAAAGAGGTCGTGTTAGATGTGCGTCATCTACAAGAAACAGGTACTACATTATGCTATCGGCAAAAAGGAATCAACACACCACAGCTTAGCAAGTGGCGGATGAGTTTCTTGCTGCCACAGGATAGCAGATCTCCCGTAAAACTGCAGCCAGACGTTTGAGAGAAAGATAATTATACGCCCGCAGGCCTTTTGTATGTATCCTATGGCACAGACAGCATGATACTGCCCATTTGCAATCGCAATTGACTGAATAGGATTGGGCTTGCGTACCGATCTTAGGTGAAAACAGGTTCAGTCTGACATCGGACTGTAGATGCCAAATTGCCATCGGAGTGTAAACATTTGTGTGGTACCTCTTATTGTCCAGATCGATATTCGACACACACAGTATCATAGTATTGGCCGGTATCATGATCAATGACTTCATACCCCTACATATGGTTGCAACTGGGACTATGACCGGCCAACGATACATTAATAAAGTTCTACTTTCTCATGTTCGCCTTTTCCGTGGTACTTCCGGTGATAAATTTTTTTTTCATGAACGACAATACACCATGCCATTGCTCACTTGCTGTTTAGAATTGTCAAGAGAGAAAACATTCAACGCCTTGTATGGCCGGTTCGTTCTCCATATCTAAAACCCACTAAAAATGTTTGGGATGCTTTGGAGAGATGTCTTGCTGTTTGAAAATATCCTCCAACGAATAAGAAACCCCTCTTGTGTGCACTGACAGAAAAATGAGATCAATTGTCTCCACTATTATTGGATAATGTTCTGCAAAGAATGCCACAGGGTGTGAAAGGTTGCATCACACACTACGATGGACCTATCCCATTCTTACACCTTTTTCAAACATGCCTGCTGTCGTTCATATGCATCCTTTCATTGCACCGTACGTAGCATCAAAAAAAAAAAAAAAAAACACTTCTTTTACTTTTGGATGTTTTAAAACCTTCTGTATTTTTCTGAACAACAAATATTCTTTATTCTATCTTCCGAATAGTGTGACAACAGCATTTTAGCCTGCTTAGCCTCCACCTCCGCTTAATAATGTTATACTGCAATACAGTTTGAGTTTCGTCCTTAGCAATTGTTCAGCAATGTTCTTCTGAAGCCAGAAATCCGTTTACTAAATTACAAGCAATAACTTTTCGTCCCAAAGTTACCTTCACTACATTGACTATTTAATTAACGTAAGTTTTCAGAAAACAAGCTTAATAAATTCTTTTGATCATTTTAGGCTTCGTGGAAATATTTTAATCAGCTTTCTGCATAAACATATCTGAAAGAACTGATGCGAGAACAACTAACGATTTATAGTAACTTAATTACAGGTTGAAATTTGCTGTACTGATGAAAAATTGGAAAACCCTTCTGAAGATAGGAATGATTATAATTAATATCCGCTATGTTTGTTCTCAATTCATTGATAAATATCTAGCCAAATCAAGGCTGGATTAAACATTAAGCAACATAAGCAGGTGCTTAGGGCATCAAGAAAAGGTCACAAAATGGTCCTTAGGTATTCAGCAAAGCAAGCTCCAAAAATTTTCCCACTTCAAATTTACCATGAAAGGCATGATGTAGTAGTTAAACCAAAACTGAGGGAGAGAATGAATGAAGAAAAAGATTGCGTAAATGTATGTGGGAGAGACAAAATCTTTTAAATGCTAAGAGTCTTTAAAGGTTTTAATACGGCCCTTACTCAGATGTAAACTAAGTTATTCAACGAATACTATTGATTACTTATTTTGAATAACAGATGATTTCATATCAGAGAAACGCAGCAACTATTTTATTCAGAAAAATTGTAACTATGAGCTTTATGTGACCGATGTATGCAAATGAAAGCCTGTTAACTGTAATTAAATGTAATTCATATAAACCATGCAAGGAATGAAGAAAATTCTTTTTTGTTTATGTTGAGTTTTGCTATTTATACTAGCATACCTAATTGTAATTATCTTATTATAAATGTGAATGTTTGAATTTACGATTTTTATTAATCTAAATTCAAACACTTATAGTAATAAGATAATGTCCTAATAAACAAATATCTATAAGAGTAATTTTCTAAACACACAATTTGTGCAGTGGAATTTTCTATTAATTTGAATTTTAAAGGTTGAAAATTATTAAAGTTTATTTGATCCATACTAAGGTGCAAAAATTTTATGAGGCAAAAGATGTCAGTTTTATTTTTAGAGTTAGCAGGCAATTTATATTGTTACGTTATTTTCTTCCTTCACGTTCGTACGGGGTTTGTAGATTTGGAGTGAATAACGACGACACTTGATGAAGTATCGAAACACACTTTATTTAGCCAGTACTAATCAGCACAGCTCCAAAATCACGTTACAGTTGTCGAAGAACTACTATAAACACGCTGACACAATCAGTGATACAGCCTTCACACTGTCAGGCTATAACGGGTGGAGACAGCTCCATTGGAAAGCACCAGAGTACAGCTCCCGACTCTGCTCGGTCGCTCTCGGAACTCCACGAACTCTCGAGACTCTCCACGCTACAACTCACGATGCACTCGACGACACACAGAGCACAGCTCCCTACTCTTCGGTTCATTCGTTCCTGGAGCTCAACACGCTCTCTCGACGATGCACTAACCGCGATACACTACGAAACTCTTTCGGTGCACTCGACGACACACTCGGCACTCGTTGCCCGGTTGTCAACTCTATCGACTCCGCACGGACTGACTAACTCGAGAGTAACTATCTCGCCTTCTCGACGAGACACACTCACGCGCCCTCTCGACGAGGCACACTCTAATTGACTGCGAACCAGCAGGGTTTATATAGCTTTCGGCTTGTGTTAGAGAACATTCTGGGCTAAACCGGTAAGAATTCGTTCCAGAAGATTCTCCATTCGTCCATGGCATATCGCCAATTTTGTCGCCAAATGTGGCAATCATCTTACCACGCCTGTACATTTCGTAACAATATTTTAAAAATATCTATCTCCAATTATATTTTTGATAAAACAGTAAATTTTGGATTGTAGCTTCAAAGTTGTTTTTCTAAAAGTTTTTAGTGTTAAGTTAATCGCTTTACATTCTTAAATTGAAAACATCAGCCTTAGAACTAATAATTACATAGTATTAATTAAAAAATTCATAAAATAATTCAAAATTAGCAAGTGTGAAAGTAACAAAACCTATTACACAGTATTTTTTTTTGACAAGAAAATAAACTAAAAGAATTTGTCAACAATAATCATAAACACATTATTACAGGGAATTTATAAATTAAGCAAATTTGAAACTTACAAATCTTATAGAACTAAACACCAAATTCTGTCTTACTCCACAGCCTTTAAAATATCCAGTATTATCTAGGACAAAAACAAAACAAGTACTATATCTGAACTCCTTGTTAGTACCCTTTTGGAATGAAAAAACAATATTTTTAAACTTATCAAAAATGAAATTTTCAAAATTAAAATTCTAAAAAATAGCAATAAGAAAATTATAATATCAAAATTTATAATATCAAAGAATTATAAATTTTGATATTATAATTTTCCTATATTTTGATATTATAATTTCCAGAAATTTATAATAGCAAAGAATTAAAAAGTCAATTCATAATCACTCTATGGCAAACAATAATTTGAAAAGAATTTTATTATGTAATTATTAGCAAATTAAATTACTTATAAACCACTAATAACAATGAGAAAACAATAAGAAAACTAATTGCTTGCCTTCCATAAAATATTTAAAATCTTTTTAAAATCCAAATGCAAAAAATTTCCCTACCTTTATTCCTTTCCAAAATTTCAGAAAACATCAGTTAAATTTAGATTTATTGCAAATGGCACTAATAATTTAAAAAATATCGATTAAACATTGAAAATGTTTTTAAAAAATATGTAGTCATATAGCTTGCAATACTAACAAACAGCGCCCAAATTACTGGACTTTTAAAAATCACTCAAAACAATTGGATTAATAACATTAATACAAAATCTTTCCTGAACTTAAAAATTTTAAAGTAAAAGCTACCAAAAAAATAATGAAGTACCCATGGGTACGAATTATTCCATGGCAATTGTACAAGAATTCGCTTCATTTTTGTACAAGAATCCAGTTTCATGCAAAACTATTAATGGCTCAAAAAATTAAATTTTACATTTAGAACCTTCATGATATTATTCCTTTCAATAATTTTGGACTAAGTGAAAAGGCCAATATGTATCCAAAATTTTTAGCACTTAACAAAGCCAACGCCACTAGCAACAAAATTGGTTATCTTGACATTAACATTCTCCATTGCAAAGAAATTAAACGTTTTAACAAAAGAAACTTTTTAACTGCAATTAATTTAATCTGTAATTTTTTTCTCTCAATGTGTATTTCTAGCAGTGTTTTTTATAAGCTTTTTGTATTAAGAATTATGTTGTATATAACAAAGAGTTACTACCACTTCCTATATTATTTAATCAAGAGTAATGTTCAATGTAATATGTAGCCAATACACACAGTGCATTAAGTGTAGAAATGAGTTTTGTAAGGTGTCCTAAATACAGTGCAGTATTCAATGTAATATGTATTATAAAAATTTTAGTGTATTGAGTGTTTTATATATAGCAGTATGTTAAGGTGCAATGTAACCAGTAGAATGTTTAACTACAAAGTTATTTTTGGTATGTTTTAAGAATGCAGCAAAATTTATGCCACAGTTAACTTTTAACATGTTGTTTAATCAAAAGTAATATGGGCTGTACTGTGTCCTTAAATCTGTATTTTGTATATTATAAGTACAGCCCAAAGTAAACAAAGAGGACTTCTGTGTGCAATTTGTTTGTAATGTGCAATTTAGCTCTTTATTTAAGAGCTCTTAATTTATTTATCTGTTGTATCAAGTTATTTATTTAAGTCTGTCTTATATAACGAAGTTATGTACTATATAATCCAGTTATGTCTTATTTAAACAATTCCATTGTTCAGAATCTATGTTGAATTGTCAAGAATAATGTTCAGCGTAATATGCTGCAAAGAATATATAGTGTATTAAATGTAGCATTGAGTTGTAAATATGCCTTAAGTACAGCGCAATGATCAACGCAATGCATATTATGAAATGTATATTGTAGCGAGTATGTGTAGCAATGTGTTAACATGCGATGTAGCCAGGAAAATGTTTAATTTCGCAAGCAGAAAAATCTATATTTTGCCCTTGTATGGCCATGTACTTTGCCCTTGTATTGCTTTCGGAGTGTAGATTCAGATAGTTGCGGGATCCGGACGATACCCGACTAGTCTATGTAAGCCGTCCGGGTGTCCGGACCTGCTCTCACCTGTCACCTGTAAAGTCAATAAACGAATAAATTCGAACTTTACCAGCTTAAAAAAAGTAAATAACACCAACACAATAATCAACCATATTTTAAGAAGAAATAGTTTTAATTAAAGACTATACGCTGAAGACCTATATTAAAAAACCAGTCTTCTCAAAAATACGCTTATTCATAATATAAATGCTTTAAATTTTTTGATTGGCAACTTCAGTAACTATATATTAGGTCGTTTCAATTTTTTGTTGCTAATGATAGGAAATATAGTATAAATCTGAAAAGAAAATATTTGGATGCATAGCAATTGTACATTAGTAAATAATTCCCCTATCTGTATTAGGGGGTAAATTTTTCTGGTCCAAATTCGGGTAAATTTTTTCCTTCCGAAAGCACTAGAACTGATCTCTTTGGTCTTACACGTCCAATGCCAAAGTTCCCAAAAGACAGATTTTGTGGAACGATTTAACCACTATGGGGAGCGAAATTATCACTTGTATAAAGCCTTACATTTGTTCTCATAAAATCTCGGATTAGGAGGAATATCCCCCCCCCACCCTGTTACATTTTGCTCGATAGCTAGAATTATGTAGGCAGGAGATTACCTAGAAAGCGCTGAATTCTTGACTCATTGTTTTCATACTTATACAGTCTCTGTTAAAAAATTCTTTGTTACTGCTTATAGCAGTCCCTCTACTCTCATTAGTGATGCTTTAACAATTAATCTTTCTTCACTCTTTATTTTAACCTTTTTTATATTTAACCATTATCTTTCTTCAATGGTGTGCCAGGAAAAGAACTGTCTTCGTTTCTGTCATTCTTGAAATAGTACATTATACTTCACATTTAGAACTTAAACTTAGTCGGAGCCAGTTCTACTATTTCTTAGTTTTGAGCGGAACTGTAATTCCTACTGAGCGCCGCCTGAGATAACCACTGACCTGACTTTGTTGTAAAGGTCTTACAGTGTTAATAGTCATCCTGGCAGAAGGGAATATTTCCTCCGTGTAAAAATATAAATATAAATATTACATGGGCATACAATGTCAGTGTATAAGCATAGATATGTTGATTACAAACATTGTCTTGTACAAGTTACATATGATAATTACATAACATCATGACAGCTATGTGTACATTTAAACATTATCTGGATTCATATTTACAATACTTTTACTGAGATAATCAAAGTAAACTTGTAATTCATTTACGCATTGACTGGATTTTCAATATCATTTAAACTGCTTTACAATATTATTTTTATCAGATACATGCAAACTGGATAGTAATATGCTTACATTACAATAGTTTTGCTCTTACAGTCCTGTTACTATTCTACGGGGTGAGCTATTTTTCTAGTGTTGATTTTCAGTTGTTGTAATATTTTGAATTGCTATTAAAATTATGCTGCGAAGATACATTTCTCAAGGGAGGAGGAGAATTTCTTAGTAGCTTGCTGAGCATAGCCTGATCACCTCCTCTATTTTAGTTTTGCTTGTTGCCGCAGGTATTCTCCGCCCATTCAGGCCAGTATTCACTGCTTGGCATTTTTAAATGCAGTTTATCGGTTTGCGGGCAGTTGAAGAGGAAGTGATCTGCATCACCTACCGCATCACATTCACACAATTCTGATGCTCGAAGCCCCAAATAAGACGAGTTCCGTTATTTTATTTTATTATTTAACACTATTTATCATTAATTTAATAATTCATTATATTTGTATTTATCTCAGATTTGGGAAAAATGGCAAGTTTATTTTGACTTTAGGAGTAGAATTCTTTCTGCTTACCTATGTCTGATTATCCTCAAAATCGATAGATTTTGTTCAAAATATAGGCCAAAACGAGTTTGTTGCCTTTGCCTAATTTTGAGTTTTATATCGGCTAGCTTCTCTTCTAATTTTTATTTATCTCTTTACATTTTATTGAATTTTAATCTTATTTACTCACTATTTTTAAATTATATTATGTATTTAGTTTTGTTTTTTCTTCAAGGCATCCTTCCATGGGACTCCGGCACTTCTAATTTCAGAAATTAAGCCCTAGTTGTACAAAATGTCAAATATTCAAATATTGTTAAATCATCCGTTAAAAAAATAATTGCTAAATCGTAAAAATAAATTAACTGCATTTTCTGTTTTCCACTGATCTATAAAAATGCAAAAATAATATAAACAAAAGGAGTTTTTGCGTTTTGAACGTCGGATTAACAGTGGACATCTTTCAGGTATTACATTGGTTAATTTTGTAGTTACTTAGTGTAGTTATTTTTACGACTTTAATGACTGTAATTACCTTTACGATTATCGGGAAAGAATTGTTACACACCTTGTTACGTTGAGCATATGCTGTGTAAAAAGAGAGTGCATGTCAAACATTTATACTGTTATTAATTCAATTAAAAAGATTTTTACTTTATTTAGAAGTCATATTTTTATTTGCAATGGTTTGCGAAGTACAGTATTTTAGAACCGCTGCTAGAACTCGTGATGACTTTATATTTTCTTTTCTGTCAGTTGTTATGACGACTTTTTTTTTTTTTTAGTTGTTGTTAAAGTTTTTTCAAGTTGTTGGCTGAAGTATTTAAACACGTTTTTGAAGTTTTTTGTTGAATCCGTTACATACAGAAATGTTTTCTTATACAGTGGAACCTCGAGATACGAGCAACTCTACATACGAGAAATTCGAGATACGAGAAAAGTATGAGCGAAAAATTCGTCTCTAAATACGAGCATTGACTCAAGTAGCGAGCAATATATATATAATATATATATCTTTCGATATATTGATAATGTAATAGCCTTCAACAACTTCAACAAGATTGAAAATGCTAATATCTACCCTTCATGCCTAAAACTTAATACTACAAATGCAGTGCAACATGATATAGTCTACCTTGATTTGCATATTAAAAATTACAATTTTTTGAAAGTCTATGACAAACGAAGAGAATTCAACTTTTCAACACTTAAATTTTTGACCACATAGGTCTTTTTTCGTTTGTTTTTACTACTTAACTTTAAATTATATATATAGCAT